TATCTGCAGCCGTCCTCGTCGATCACCCGCTTACGAGAGTATTATTCTGAACACGGAACCAGCCAGCCCGCAAGGAGGCCTGCCCCACATGATGCCGGACGCAGTCCCAGCACTGCACGCTCCCCTCTGGGGTATACAGTTCTGCAGAGCTGCACGCAGCATTTGGACACCTGTCCTTCCAGGGCCCCAGAAGGAGATGACTGGAGAGGGTCAGGTCAGATGGCTATAGACACGGGGAATGAATAAGTGCCGGGCTAATGAGCCATCTGCTGGGTGGTGAGATTTCCACACCCGGCAGCACACCAGTCCCACAGATCCACCGCTGGATTAGCCCAAACATCAGAACATCCGACAACAAAATTGAGCTACAATAACTGTGCTTTTTCCAATTTTCTGGGGACACGTTATCACGATTGTGAGTCAGGTGGCCAAGTATAACCCCCCAGCTTCAGCTACCCCCACCTCGAAGGTCTCCTGCTGCCTCTTGCTCTCCCCCTAGTCACTTCTAAAGCAAGTCTCAGGGTGCCCAGGCTCTGACGTGGTCCCTTCACTGGGCTGGAGGCAAGGGCAAAGCCATCATCATTCTCAAAGAATGATGAGTCCTACTCCCAGAGCAGGCAGGAGACATGAAATGACACACTGTCCAAAGGCTGAGGAAGAACGCTTCCCGTAAAGACGATGAGCCCCGCCTTCCCCAGCGCTCCAGCCTGGCCAATGCTCCAGGGGGCCCAGAAGACTCTGGAAAGCCTGGGCACCAGGGGGAGGCTGCATGGCCAGGGAAGGGAAAGGCACTGACCGTTGGCAGTGGTCAGCCTGGCTCGGGCAGGCCTGGAGGGAGGGAGGCGCCTGTGTGCACCAGGCACTCTCACTACGCAAAACCCAGACAGTCAACAGATGCAAGGCAGTGGCTTGGAATCCACATAGAATGGAACAATCAGGGCATCTCTGGCTGGGTTGACACGCGTTGCCAAGAGCGAAAGGCACCTGGAGCCACTCAGCACTTACCAGCCTCCCCCCATCTGGGTCCCACTGGGAGATCCCAGAGAATCGGGAGCCGCAAAGCAGCCCCCACTGTGATCTACAGGTCACTAACCGCCCGAAATCCCTTCTTTTTCCCTCCTGCTTTTCCCCTACTCCCTGCAGCGATTAACGAGGTGGGGGGAGGGTGGGCAGAGCAAGAGCTGCCGGCTGGGTAATCCTCTCTCCAGCTCCATTAAGAACAGAAATAAAATTGCCATTTCAGCTCTGGGTGCAGCCGGAAAGAGGCTGTCACTCCCGAGAATATACAGAAAACTTAGAAGGATGCGCATGAATGAGAAGCAACTTTTCCCATTTCCTAGTCAAATTACATGAGGATGGCAATCACGGCCAGGAGAGGCTGAGCCTCGGGGAGTTGCCTAATGCTAAACAGTTCTGGATTAGCCACCTGGGGCAAAGGAGTCGCTCTGGGCAACTGTCCACGTGGGAAGGTGACCAGCCTGCAGCCAGAGGGGGTCGCCCTGGGAATTTCTGGCACTTGGGAAGGTGACCAGCCTGCAGCCAGAGGGGGTCGCCCTGGGAATTTCTGGCACTTGGGAAGGTGACCAGCCTGCAGCCAGAGGGGGTCACTCTGGGAATTTCTTCTGGCACTTGGGAAGGTGACCAGCCTGCAGCCAGAGGGGGTCGCCCTGGGAATTTCTGGCACTTGGGAAGGTGACCAGCCTGCAGCCAGAGGGGGTCGCTCTGGGAATTTCTTCTGGCACTTGGGAAGGTGACCAGCCTGCAGCCAGAGGGGGTCGCCCTGGGAATTTCTGGCACTTGGGAAGGTGACCAGCCTGCAGCCAGAGGGGGTCACTCTGGGAATTTCTTCTGGCACTTGGGAAGGTGACCAGCCTGCAGCCAGAGGGGGTCGCCCTGGGAATTTCTGGCACTTGGGAAGGTGACCAGCCTGCAGCCAGAGGGGGTCGCTCTGGGAATTTCTTCTGGCACTTGGGAAGGTGACCAGCCTGCAGCCAGAGGGGGTCGCCCTGGGAATTTCTGGCACTTGGGAAGGTGACCAGCCTGCAGCCAGAGGGGGTCACTCTGGGAATTTCTTCTGGCACTTGGGAAGGTGACCAGCCTGCAGCCAGAGGGGGTCGCCCTGGGAATTTCTGGCACTTGGGAAGGTGACCAGCCTGCAGCCAGAGGGGGTCACTCTGGGAATTTCTTCTGGCACTTGGGAAGGTGACCAGCCTGCAGCCAGAGGGGGTCGCCCTGGGAATTTCTGGCACTTGGGAAGGTGACCAGCCTGCAGCCAGAGGGGGTCACTCTGGGAATTTCTTCTGGCACTTGGGAAGGTGACCAGCCTGCAGCCAGAGGGGGTCGCCCTGGGAATTTCTGGCACTTGGGAAGGTGACCAGCCTGCAGCCAGAGGGGTTCACTCTGGGAATTTCTTCTGGCACTTGGGAAGGTGACCAGCCTGCAGCCAGAGGGGGTCGCTCTGGGAATTTCTGGCACTTGGGAAGGTGACCAGCCTGCAGCCAGAGGGGGTCACTCTGGGAATTTCTTCTGGCACTTGGGAAGGTGACCAGCCTGCAGCCAGAGGGGGTCGCCCTGGGAATTTCTGGCACTTGGGAAGGTGACCAGCCTGCAGCCAGAGGGGGTCACTCTGGGAATTTCTTCTGGCACTTGGGAAGGTGACCAGCCTGCAGCCAGAGGGGGTCGCTCTGGGAATTTCTGGCACTTGGGAAGGTGACCAGCCTGCAGCCAGAGGGGGTCGCTCTGGGAATTTCTTCTGGCACTTGGGAAGGTGACCAGCCTGCAGCCAGAGGGGGTCGCTCTGGGAATTTCTGGCACTTGGGAAGGTGACCAGCCTGCAGCCAGAGGGGGTCGCTCTGGGAATTTCTTCTGGCACTTGGGAAGGTGACCAGCCTGCAGCCAGAGGGGGTCGCCCTGGGAATTTCTGGCACTTGGGAAGGTGACCAGCCTGCAGCCAGAGGGGGTCACCCTGGGAATTTCTGGCACTTGGGAAGGTGACCAGCCTGCAGACAGAGGGGGTCACTCTGGGAATTTCTTCTGGCACTTGGGAAGGTGACCAGCCTGCAGCCAGAGGGGGTCGCCCTGGGAATTTCTGGCACTTGGGAAGGTGACCAGCCTGCAGCCAGAGGGGGTCGCTCTGGGAATTTCTGGCACTTGGGAAGGTGACCAGCCTGCAGCCAGAGGGGGTCACCCTGGGAATTTCTGACACTTGGGAAGGTGACCAGCCTGCAGCCAGAGGGGGTCGCTCTGGGAATTTCTTCTGGCACTTGGGAAGATGACCAGCCTGCAGCCAGAGGGGGTCGCCCTGGGAATTTCTGGCACTTGGGAAGGTGACCAGCCTGCAGCCAGAGGGGGTCACCCTGGGAATTTCTGGCACTTGGGAAGGTGACCAGCCTGCAGCCAGAGGGGGTCACTCTGGGAATTTCTTCTGGCACTTGGGAAGGTGACCAGCCTGCAGCCAGAGGGGGTCGCCCTGGGAATTTCTGGCACTTGGGAAGGTGACCAGCCTGCAGCCAGAGGGGGTCGCTCTGGGAATTTCTTCTGGCACTTGGGAAGGTGACCAGCCTGCAGCCAGAGGGGGTCGCCCTGGGAATTTCTGGCACTTGGGAAGGTGACCAGCCTGCAGCCAGAGGGGGTCACTCTGGGAATTTCTTCTGGCACTTGGGAAGGTGACCAGCCTGCAGCCAGAGGGGGTCGCCCTGGGAATTTCTGGCACTTGGGAAGGTGACCAGCCTGCAGCCAGAGGGGGTCACTCTGGGAATTTCTTCTGGCACTTGGGAAGGTGACCAGCCTGCAGCCAGAGGGGGTCGCTCTGGGAATTTCTGGCACTTGGGAAGGTGACCAGCCTGCAGCCAGAGGGGGTCACTCTGGGAATTTCTTCTGGCACTTGGGAAGGTGACCAGCCTGCAGCCAGAGGGGGTCGCCCTGGGAATTTCTGGCACTTGGGAAGGTGACCAGCCTGCAGCCAGAGGGGGTCACTCTGGGAATTTCTTCTGGCACTTGGGAAGGTGACCAGCCTGCAGCCAGAGGGGGTCGCCCTGGGAATTTCTGGCACTTGGGAAGGTGACCAGCCTGCAGCCAGAGGGGGTCACTCTGGGAATTTCTTCTGGCACTTGGGAAGGTGACCAGCCTGCAGCCAGAGGGGGTCGCTCTGGGAATTTCTTCTGGCACTTGGGAAGGTGACCAGCCTGCAGCCAGAGGGGGTCGCTCTGGGAATTTCTGGCACTTGGGAAGGTGACCAGCCTGCAGCCAGAGGGGGTCGCTCTGGGAATTTCTTCTGGCACTTGGGAAGGTGACCAGCCTGCAGCCAGAGGGGGTCGCCCTGGGAATTTCTGGCACTTGGGAAGGTGACCAGCCTGCAGCCAGAGGGGGTCACCCTGGGAATTTCTGGCACTTGGGAAGGTGACCAGCCTGCAGCCAGAGGGGGTCACTCTGGGAATTTCTTCTGGCACTTGGGAAGGTGACCAGCCTGCAGCCAGAGGGGGTCGCCCTGGGAATTTCTGGCACTTGGGAAGGTGACCAGCCTGCAGCCAGAGGGGGTCACCCTGGGAATTTCTGACACTTGGGAAGGTGACCAGCCTGCAGCCAGAGGGGGTCGCTCTGGGAATTTCTTCTGGCACTTGGGAAGATGACCAGCCTGCAGCCAGAGGGGGTCGCCCTGGGAATTTCTGGCAGTTGGGAAGGTGACCAACTCTGTAGCCAGGGGGGTCACCTGCTATGGGCATCTGTCCAGGGGTCGCTTGGACATAGGCTTCTCACTTGGCCCTATCCCCAAGGCGGCTGGAGTCAAACGGAAGAAGAGGGGGTGTGCCTTAATGTGGGAATGGAGGAAGGGGGAGGAGGGAAGGGAAAGGAGCAGGAGGGAGGGAAGAGGAGGGATAGGGAGGAAGCAGGAGGCGGAGGAGGGAAAGAGGGGGTGGGAGGGGGAGGGGGAGGGAGGAGGGGGAGGAGAGGGGCCGAGGCTGGAGGCGGAGCACGAGCCTGGACGCGCGCGCCAGAGGCGGCGGCCCGAACCGCACCGTGCGGCGGCGGCGCTCTGGTTGGCTGGTCTCCCCGTCCTGCCGCCGCCGCCGCCCCCTCCTCCCTCCCACTCCCCGCCCTCCCCGCGGCGGCTGGCGTCGAGAAAGTACAGTAAAAAGTCCAAGTGCAGCCGCTCGGCGCAAGATGGGATCCGGCTCCTCCAGCTACCGGCCCAAGGCCATCTACTTGGACATCGATGGGCGCATTCAGAAGGTAGCCTCCCCCCCCCGCACCCGCGGCCTCGGGTGCGAGCCCCCCACCCCGCTGTGTGCCCCCACCCCGCTGCTCACGCCCTCGCCCGCAGCGCTGTGCTTGGCCCCCACCGTGCGATCCCGCGCAGGGGCCCCTCCCCGGGTGACGGCGCGGGGGTCGCAGCGGCGGGTGGGGGAACCTGGCGCAGCGACGGAGGGCGCCCGTGTGGAGGGCCGTCGTCTGTGCGTCCGCGCGTCCTGGGTCCGGGCTGCAGCCTCTGACAACTTGGGCTGGGGGCAGCAGGGCTCTGCGGAGCTGCTGTCCCCACGCGCCGCCCCCCACCCCCCATGGAAAGGGGCGACCCACAAGGGGGTATTTTTTTCCACTTCACGGGCAGAGCTTTCTTTGTAACAAATCTCATCAGGCTGAGTTTGTATGTTCAGAGGCTGGTGCATGAAGCCTTTCATTTCCCAGAGCAGACGCGCCGCAGAGCCCCTGGGCTGCCCTGCGGGACGTGGTCCCCAGGCAGGGGTGGTGACTGAGGCACGGAGGGTGGCCGAGTACGCAGCCCCCCACCCAGGGGTGGTGCTTCCTGGCCAGGGGGGAGCAGGTGGAGGGGCGGGGTTTGGGGAGCAGGGGCTGCGCTCGGCAGCCCCCCACCCCCCGCTCCCTGTACCCCACTGGACAGATGGTCAGCTCTGACAGCAGAGGGGGCTCCTTGAGGCTGCTCTACCTCCTGGGCCCACAGAGAGACTGAGGGACAGGCCAGACCAGCCCTGTGGTCTCTCTGCCCTTCTCTGGAGGCATGAAGCCCTCCAGATGTCCAGGGTCCCTAACCAACTTGACTCTCATAGGAGAGGCTTCCCAGCAGACCCTCTTTGTTCCTGGCCCCTCCCTTGCTAAGCCCCTGGCCTGAGTCCAGAGCGTCCTGGGCCCATGTTCCTGATTGGCAGAGAGGCACAATAAGAAAGCTGGCTTGGAGGGGGGATTTTTAGCTCCTCCAGAACCACCCCCCCACCGGGAAAAACCATAGTGAGGAATCACTCCCAAACTTCAGCTGGACATTTCAGGGAAGCTGCCACCAATCCCCTTGCTCTTCTCAAGGAGCACCCCCCCCCCGCCCCCTGCCGGGAAGCCAGGGAGGGATGCCCCAGCCAGTGACAGAGCAGGCATGAGGCGGGGGAAGCGGGGGGAGTCTCCAGAGATCTCTGGAGTGCCTCTGCCAGCTGATAGGCTTGCCAGAAGCCACCCTCACTCTCCCATCCCCGTCTCCATCCCAGGAAGTGAGAACTGCCCCTCCCCCACCAGCGCCCGCTTTAATAGAATCAGAGAGCAGGGAACAGGAAGAGTCTGCAAGGCCAGGTTGTCAAGCCTCTTGTTCGTCAGTGCTAGGCAGTTGGTCAGCGGCAGACGGAGGACTGGACTCCGGTCCCCTGACTTCCAGGACTCAGCACCTGTGACTGAGCAGGGACTTAACAGCCCCCTCAAAGGTAGAAATGACTCTCGGCTGAATACCTCCCTGTGCTGCAGACACGCGTGCACAAACGTGCCCACACGTGTGCACATACGTGTTCACACAACACGCACATGAAACCATGTTGCACACACATACACGGATACGCACACGTGTGCATGAACCACACATGCTCACAAGAGCAAACCCACACGCCGACACACGCATGTGCAAACAAGTGCGCGTGCACACATCTGCACAAGCACACACACTCCTACCCCACCAGATGAGAATTCTCAAGAGATTGGCCTATTTTCATCTTTTTGAAAGAGATGAGATGAGATGCCCGCCACTGGGTCAGAAGTGACAGCTTCTTCCCGAGAACTTCCCAAAGGTCTCCCCGAGAAGCTGGATTGGAAGTGGGTAAGAAGTGGCAGAGAGGCGCCAGAGGGTGGGAGGTGAGCACTGAGTCTGGCAAGCTCTGCCCGCGTGGCAATCAGGCTGGTTTTGAGAAGGTGACACACCTGAGGTTGGGGTGACCTCCGGAAAAACAGCCCTGGAGGCACACCTGCATTCAGGAGAGAGGCTGTGGCCTCGGGAGGGGCCAGATCTGCCGCTGAGTGCCGGCTCCCCTACTTTCTGTGGTCTTGAGCAAGTCCGCGGGCAGCTCTGAGCTGGCCTCCCCCTCCGTAGAGTGGGACGGCAGTCTCTGCTTTATAGACCGTCCTGAGAAGGACACAAGACCGTATGACCAGAGTGCGTGGGGTACTGCGGGAACAGGTGGGTCCCTCTCTCTGTCCACAGTGGCCTTTCGCTGATACAGACAGGGGAGGGGGAGCCCGAGTAGGCTGTGGTCTAAACCTCGCCCGTGGCCGCAAGGCAGGGCAGGCGGTTCTTGTTAGCGGTTCTTGACCGGGCTCTGCGCCCTCTGCCTGCGCTGTTGACTCTGGTGGAGGCTCTAGCTGGACTTCTAGCCGTGGTTGAGAGCCGAAGCATCTGGGATTTCCAAGCACGTGCTGGAAAAGGACAACGGGGCCCTCACCGCACACCCGGCAGCATGGTGGGGACCGAAAGTGTCTCTGCTGAGAGCATTTCCAGCAATGCTTTCTGTGGCCGCGCTTTCCGTCCTTAAGGCTCCAGGCACTGGATTCAGCCCCGCTCTGTCTCCCTTTTATCCTGCCCAGCGCTTCTCCCAGGAAGGTCATGGACACAGACCCCTGTTGCTTCCGAGGGGCGGGCGCGCTGGGGGTGGGGGAGGGGCTAAGGCACTGCTTTGTCTCCCCCGCCCTCTGCCCCTCCAGTGACCTTCTCTTGGGCACCCCACGCTCCCCCCCCAGAGAGAGCACCAATGTGGGGGGAGAGCGTTCACAGCAGTGACTCCTGCAGGTGTAATGTGCTCCAGCCAAGCTTAGGGGGAATGGTCCCAGGTCACCGGAAGGGAGGCCGCCCGCCCTGTCTGAGGACGTACGTGGGGTGGTGACACTGGATACTGGATGTGTCTCAGGTGCTTGACGAAACCACTGCAGCTCCCGGATAGCTAGTTCAGTGCCTTCTGACATGAAGAAGACTCCAGACACACAGCTCACCCAGGGTGACACAGCGCGAGGCCAGCAGGGGGAATTTGGGGGATCCTCAGGCCGCCGTGAGGGGATCGAGCTCCCATCTGCGGGCTTTCCTTCAGCGCTGTGCGGGGGGGGGGGGGGGGGGGGCGGGTTTGGAGGGCAGAGGTTATCCTCCGAGCCTGCGCCCCGCTGGGTCCCCACAAAGGCAGCAGAGAGCCATGCGGCTGCTCCCAGGGCCTCGCCTGCATCCCCGTGGCCTGGGCGAGGTCCCTAACCTCTGTGTAAGGTGGGGATCCCTGTAGTGCTGCTTGTTGTAGAATCGGCCGGACAAGACCCATCACTTAGGCCGCTCTCTAGAGGAGCTGTCGAACAGCCGCTGTGTGCCGAGGGCTGGGTCCCGTGCGAACGTGATACCCACGACCCTGTCCCACCGAGCGATGGGCTCACAGATGGTAAACCACAGCTGTTGAAGGGTGCCCGTGGACGGACAGAAGGACATGGCAGGCCCCGCTGGTGGGGCAGGGCTGTGTGCCAGAAGTGGGATGCTTGATGAATAGGCTCCCTTCCTTGGTAAAGACTGGCTTTGGGGGGCCCGGCGTGGGGGAAGGGGACTTTTTGTAGACTGGGAAGCCTTAGGGTGACCCAGGTTAGGAACTGCTGGACGGCCAAGGGGACAGCCTCACTCACCTCCACACGCCTGTCCCCTTGATGCCTCCTCCCCTGCTCCTGTTGAAGGAGGAGGGAGTGGGAGCCGGGGTCCCCAAAGCTGGATAGCTGGGGACCCCCGCTCCACAGGACTCTTCTCCAGAAGATGCTGCTTCTCTTCTTTGCCCAGATGGTTTGCGTTTTCCTTTCCTCCGCTGGCCCTGGCCTCAGTACCTGTTCCTTTCTCCCCTTCCCCACGCGGTACATCGGAGAGAGGGGGCACTCAGCTGGGATGTCCCGGGGCTGCCAGGGTGGTGCCCTTGGCGTGGGGGGGGGAGGGGCCCTGCCTGGTAGCACGGCCAGGCATGCGTTTGATGACCTTACCATTACCAATGAAGAAGAGTGAGGGGTTCACGTGACCTTGGGGCCTGGCTTTGGGCTGGAGCTGCTGAGAAGCCTCATCTGGACAAGGATGGGCATTCTGGAGCTCCTACCAGCTCTGGAAGGGAGCACTTCCATTGGTGCATTGCCCTGGCCGCTCAGGGACATGGCAGTCTGCCTGGACCACCTTCGGCCACTCTGAGCTCCTGCGTCCTTGTCCCAGTCTTGCTGCTGCAGGAACCCCGGCCTTACTCTGCCACTGGAACCCAGGTCCAAGACAGCCAACAGCCACTTGACTCTGTTAAGTGGTTTCTACTCTAAAACAAGGAAATGAATGAGGAAAACCCAAGGGAAGAGCAACCTTGGGAAGTTGTTGAACTATCTGCAGAAGACTGTGCCCGGTTCACGGCTGACTGCTAGCCCCTCCCCAGGCCCTGTGCGCTCAGGGCTCCCGTCTTCTCCCAGGGAGCCGGCGTCCACCCTGCCTGGGCCCGCTGTGACAGGGATTCCGGGGTACGCCCCTGGTTCCTTCCACTGGCGCCTACAGGGCCGGGACCCTCGGTTTTCCTCTGTGGCAGGACCCTCCCCCCGCCCTTGGAGATCAGGCCTCTGCAGCCCTGCCAGCCACCTCCCTTCCTCCCACCTGCCTCCCTCTGTCCTCCGCTCTGCTCCAGCCCTGCGCCCTCCAAGGGACTTCAGGCTCGTCTACCTTCATTGCTTGCCTTTGGCGCAAATCGAAGCTGCTGCGCTTCTTCAGGCCGGTCCTGTCTTCCATTCTTGAAGGGTGTAGCTGCCCCTGTCTTGTCCCGTGTGGTCAGCGCGGCAGGACCTTGAGACCCCCCAACTCATGGGCACGTTTCCCCTTCCTGGAAAGTACGTCTGTCCTGCCACCCGGCAAAGCCCAGTGACAATTCCCTTTCACTTTAAGTTGTGCGCACCTGCTCTGCCCACACTCCGAGCCAGTGGAGCCCAGGAGTGGA